ACAGCCATTTCAGATTAAAAATTACAAATATAAAAGATTTATATGCACTTTTACACCTTTTTTTTTTTTATGACTTAGTGAATTTATCATCATTTTTACATTGTTTATTATACCACTATACTTGCAATAGTTTTAAGAATAAAAATGTGTATTATTGGAGCTTTGTTTTGTAGGAATGATTTGTTTCATATTGAAGTCAAATGATGAAAGGTATCAGAAACAAATTTTGGAATACATGTTATTACAATTTTTATGATGACTCGGGATATCTTCTAATAACTTTGAAGTTAAGATTTAGAACAATAACATGTATATAACTTTGAAGTTAAGACTATTTACAAAAATATACATTTTCAAGTCTATCCATTTATCCTTTAACACAACCACAGAAGTAACAGTTACATTGGATTGAAGAAAAAACTTCATTAAAAAACAAATAATAATAGGTAAAAATTCACAAAGTTAAAAATGATATCAAACACCAGCTTTTTATTTAAGGATCCGACGCTTTTACATTAAAAACAAGAGTAAATCTTCTCACCATATCATCAAATCCCTAACTGCTTCTAGCCCTCTGATAGTAGGTACGAGTTATTCATTTCATTTGCATATAATTACAATTTTCATGATGACTCAGGATAACTTTGATGAATAAGTTGTACTTACCACCAGAGGGCTAGAAGCAGTTAGGGATTTGATGATATGGTGAGAAGATTTACTCTTGTTTTTAATGTAAAAGCGTCGGATCCTTAAATAAAAAGCTGGTGTTTGATATCATTTTTAACTTTGTGAATTTTTACCTATTATTATTTGTTTTTTAATGAAGTTTTTTCTTCAATCCAATGTAACTGTTACTTCTGTGGTTGTGTTAAAGGATAAATGGATAGACTTGAAAATGTATATTTTTGTAAATAGTCTTAACTTCAAAGTTATATACATGTTATTGTTCTAAATCTTTTTTTATGAATTATAGTATAAGAAAAGTAGTGTATTCACTTATAAGTTTGCTTTAAGTAGTGCAGAACTTCAGTTAATTGCTTGGATAATTGGGTTTCTACTGTATTTAAATCACTACTTCAAAATATTTCATTGTGAATAAATTTGTTAAGACTGTTACATTAATCATTAAAAATATTTTATTCTTGTTTGTTTAAAGTAAAATTATATTTATTCTATCTTAAACTTTTGATATGAATTTGATATTTACTGAACAACATTGTTGATATTATTTACATATATCATATTTATTATGTTATAAGTGACTGACAATTTCTTAAATAAATATTTATGATATAAATTTAATGATTACTTCTATTATTTTACATTATTTTGTCAGTAATTTCAGTAGTAATTATCATATTTTATTATTTGAATTTAATATATATTACTGAATAACATAATATTGATTTTTTTTTATGTTTTTATTTTTAAAGAATGGGCCCACTGTCAATCAACGTTTTGAATCTTATTACAATTACTGTGATCTTTTCAATTGTATTCTCAGTAAGTATATTTAAAAATCAAAATATAAAATTTATTTTGATAAAAATTTAATTTTATGAATCAAATTGAAGGTGCTGAAGGTCCCGTTCCTCTTGAGTTACCAAATAGATGGCTTTGGGAAATAATCGATGAATTCATTTATCAGGTTAGTTAATCAGACAACTAGAAATTTTTCCATCAAACATGATGGAATACTTTTTATCAGAAAGTAGAGCTTGAGAAGAGTAGAGATTTCAAGAAATTCAAGAAGAGTTGCTATTTCTACAAATTAAGTAGTTTATACTCAAGCTTACATTCTGATACTATTTCTGCAGCACTTGACAAAAGCATTCCTATTCGATGTTGCTCAAATCAAACTTCATGGCCTTCAGAGGTCTCGGTTGTTCTTATTCTTTTAGATCTAGAATTTACCTGACCAATTTTACTCTTACACTTTCCCTTAGGCACTTTATCTTATTTTTTTTTAAATATATAAAATAGCAAGTCTTTTTAAATCCATGTTGATAAAACAAAGATGAATTGTATGTATATTAGATGAGCGATAACACTTTCTAAATAACAGACTCGTTAGATTATTACTTCCAGTTGGATAATAGAACGTCACATGGTCCCTATGGAAACATTTTTAAAAAAAGTTATTATAGAAGTGACAGAAAGCAGCTATCTTCCTTTAAAGTCTAAATTTTAAATTTAATGAAGTAAGTTTAAAAATACGCCATTTGCTAAAATATTTAAAAATGCAACTTAAGGGAAAGTTCCTCATCAAGCATGAGCATTACTGCAATGTAAGTGCAATCACCAATCCAAAATCTCTAAAATGTTTATTCTATAGCTAATATTTCCATAAAATAAGTAGTCTATACTTTTCAACAAAACACACGCAAAACACCTTATAAATGTGCAGCCGTATTTATTAAATTCAAACTTACCTGACCAATTTTACTCTGACACTTTCCCTTAGGCACTTTATCTTATTTTTTTTTAAATGTATAAAATAGCAAGTCTTTTTAAATCCATGTTGATAAAACAAAGATGAATTGTATGTATATTAGATGAGCGATAACACTTTCTAAATAACAGACTCGTTAGATTATTACTTCCAGTCATATTTAATGACCTTTATCAAGAATAAATGGAAAAAATTATATTTGGGTTCTAATTTTCTTCAAAAAGTAAGAATTCCATGGCAGTTGACTTATATTCAGGTCAATACAGTATTTAATTTGACTATGTTTTAATTTAAGAAGAAAAAAATTATCATTTATATGAGGGGAGTCCAATATTACAGGTATAGGACAAAATTACACTAACGTTTATAATTTTAAAAAAATATTTAATACATTCCACAAAAACTACATACATTTGTTTATTTCTCAACATAATTGCCTTAAATGTTGAGAAATTTATCCCAGCATGATACTAGTTTGAACATCCCTTCATGGTACTGTTGCTTGTCAAGTTGTTCAAAGTAGTCCACAATGGTATCTTCCAATTCCTCCAGATCTGCAAAGCGTTTCCCTGCCAAAAATTTCCTTAAGGATCCGAATAAATGAAAATACGAGGGGGCTAAAGCTGGATTATACTCCACGTGTCAAATCAAACCAAACTGTGGTTGGCACAGTGGAATTGGAAGGTCCTGCAACTTCCTCCGTATAGTCCAGATTTAGTTCTCCATTGGATTTTCATTTATTTGGAACTTTAAAGAAATTTTTGGTGGGGAAACACTTTGCAGATTAGGAGGAATTGGAAGAGACTGTTCTGGACTACTTCAAGCAATTTGACAAGCAACAGTACTGTGAAGGGATGTTCAAACTAGTGTTATGCTGGAATAAATGTCTCAACGTTTACGGCAGGGGTGTCCTTATGCAGCCAAGACAAGTTCCAATGCAGCCCGATAAATGCGTAAACAAAACCGACAAATGTTTTAATATTTTTATTATTTATTTATTTCAACGGCATAAACTCAAAAAAAGAAGTTTCACAAAGCCGTAATCTTTATTCATATTTTATTTTTGATTGAAAAGGAAATATTTTTGAATACTTGGAGATGTGTGGATGATGAAGAATTACTAAATAAAGCTGGAGTTGTGACTCAAAGGATTTTAGACCCAAATTTGGAAAAAGGAGGAATAGGAGAGAAAGGACAAAAGATAAAATGAGAAAGGTTAAATAGATCTTCTGTTATGTAAATATTGACCATTAATTTTCAAATCTTTCTCACTTCTTTATCTTTTGTCCTTTCTCTTCTTTCCCTGCATTTGAGTCTATAATCCTTTGAGTCACAACTCCAGCTTTATTTAGTATTTCTTCCAGCATTGCAAGATTTGGCTACATTGTGCCAAATGTGGCTACTTTTTTTAGTTTGACGTAAAAAATATCGTTTGATGCTTTGGCTACATCTATATATATATATATAATAATTGACATGTGTGTCCCTATATTTCACTTTTCAGCCAAAACTACACATCGCACATGGATGGTGTTTGTATGTGGTAGTAGCCCCAAATCTCCATTCGTGCCTATGGTGGTTGTGTCTCAATAGTTGTAAGGGTGCGGGAGATATGGGGGCTTAAAGTGGTTGACTTTGAAGATTTTCTATTTCGATTTTAAAAATGTTCGAACCGTTTTAAATTCGAATTGGTTCGATTATAGAACGATTGTAAACGTTCCAGAAAATTGATCAAATTGAAAATAGTTCGTTTGACTGGACGTAAAAATTCTCTAATTAGTTTGGAAACNTAATTAATAAAAAAAAATTGTAAAAAGTCACATATAATATTTAATACAACAATCAAGATGTCATGTAAAGATTGTCATAATAATGGAATATATTTTAAATTTGATATTATATAACAGTATTCATTATTTAAGATAATTGGCTAATTAGATAAAACCACAGAACACTGATCTGTGTCTGACGAATGAGTTGGCTACATGGAAATCTGCCTAAATAAAAAAAATCCTTGCAACCAAACTGGCTGCGAGATCTCACTTGACAGCATCAAAATACTTAAAAGGGAAAAAATATTATTAAAAGAAAATTTTACGAACATATTGAAATTATTAAAACTAAAGAAACACACAGAATGAACTTAAATACAGGTGCAGTCATAAATATGAATCTTTCGAAACAGAGTAATTTTCTGTTGAAAATAAACCCATTCAAAACGGAAACCTGCCAAATCAGAAAAATATTCAGTACCATGTAATTTTGGTTTACACAGGTTTTACTATATTTATTTATTTATTTATTTATTTTTTTCATAAGAGGATAGTAGTTTTATAGTTATAAGTTTAATGAATTGATTTGAGGGTAAAAATATGAAATGTAAGTATGTNACCCAAATAAAACAAATATTTGTGTTTTTCAAATAAATTTTTGTTTCTCTCTTTTATAATAAATGAATTTATCCATTTCTAAGTAAAAATTGAAAGTGTCCGTAAAAGTAATTTTTTAAAATAACCCTTTTTGTGATAAAGTTTTAATACTTATTATTACAATCTAGACGTGTTAATCCTTAAATATACTTGTATATTAGGCCACAAGTATATATAATATATACTTGTGGCCCAAAACTCCTTGACTTCTTCCAATGCGGCCAGAGAAACAAAAAGATTGGACCCCTGGTTTATGGCAATTATGCAAAAAATAAAAGTATGTAGTTTTTGTGATTAAGTAAATATTTTTTTAAATCATAAATGTTAGTGTAATTTTGGCCTGTACCTTTACTATCAGACTCCTCACAAATAATATAAAAAAAAACAATCAAATAATAATGTGATTTTACATTGACGATTTTACTTTAAGAATAAAAAATTCTAAATAAATACCTTGTAAAATTCAAAAACAAAATTTATATTTATTAGAATTATTGAATTCTGGCCAGTAAATAGTTAATTTTTGAATTTAACAATGAATATCAAATGTTTAATCTTTTATTTAATGCTTATTTATGGAAAGGTTTTGATATTGCAGCATATACTAATAATGCATAATATTAATTTCTAAATGACAAATGAATCAACATTTTAAGCCTGCAATAAAGCATTTCACTTTATATGATTAAATATAGTAAGATAAATTATTGTATTTTCTTAAATAAAAATTAAATTTTAATAGTTATTTGATAATAAAATATTATATTTTAGATTTAATATACAATTTCTTTAAACAGATGTGTAACATTTTGAAATTAGTATAAAAAATTAAGTCTTTTCCAAGGAGTCAAACTACTTTTAATATTAACAANGAAAGAGTGCCCTGTATGCTTGCGTACATGCTTACAATTAGACTGAAAAGTAAAGGATTAGCAGAGCAGTAAAGTAATAAATTGGTACAGTAAGAAAGAAAGAGAGAGAGAGAATGAATGAATGTTTGAAATAGAATAATTCTTTGTAAAATTACATGTTACTCTACTCAGATTTTTTTCCAATTTTTGAGATTTACATAACTGCAAATTTACGAGAGTCGTGTGTTATGTAACTCTGGATATTACTGTACTTTATGATATTTTAATATGTAAATTGCATGTTAAATATTAATTATTACTAAGTTAATTAAAGTAATAGATTTATAAATATTGTTTGATTATATTCTAGAAATGCCAATTATCTAACCAAAATATAACACAAATGAATTTATAAAATCTAGGACTACTTTTATTTTTTTATTGAAAAATGAATTAATTTTTTATGTTAATTATATTTTTCAGTATGATCCATATGCGTATCATATGAATAATTATGATTATGATCCCCATGGTAAGCATATATGCTTTATGTATTTATTTTATGTTTAAATAATGATTGAATTGCTGTCAAAATTTCTCATAACTGTTACCGTAGAAGTTAAAAGATATTTTAAGTCAATTACACATCAAAATTCAATTTTTATAAGACAAATAATGGATACCATGAAATGTTAAGATTATTAGTATATTTTTTAAGTTCTAGAACTATATTAATGTTTACAAAGAAAGCAGCATTCACATAATATACATACTTTTATTTTTTTCTCTTGTTATTCATAATTGTCATTCAAAGTAAACTAAAATGATCTGCTTTTGATTATTTTTAATTTTATAAGAATAGAGCCAGGTAAAATATTCTGAATATACCAAGAAAGTAGGCTATAAACAATTGTAG